GCGTGGGTCCCAACAACAGGGCGGGAAGGGGGACACAGTCAGCCGCTGGCTCGGTCTGACACGGGAAGGGGAAAGCAAAATCCTTGTAACAGGCCTGGATGAAAGCAAATGGAAGTGGATCGGCCGGTGTGTTACCCCTGAGAGGCAGGGGCAACCCTTTCACTGCTCAAAATCCTGGAAGAGCCTCAAATTCCCCGGCAATGTCGGAGGAAAGGACAAGTGAGCTGGAGCTCCTGCACGAGCACAGGCAGCGGCAGGGGCAGAGCAAACTGGCCAAGTGGCAGAAGGAAAGGATGATGGTCGGAGGAAAGATCACAAACATTTGTGCAGAAACAAATGCAAATTCACCAGGAAGGCGCTGGCTTCTGGATTAGGGTTCAGCAAGCAGCAAAGTTTTCATAAATGGTGCTTTTTGGTATCTTCACTTGCAGGCCTCGAAGCCATTGAAACCAAAAAGGAGGAAGAGGTTCCTCCATCAATGAGATGGAAACCCAAGGCCCCTTCCTCCTGGTGAACGTGGAGATAGAGTTTATCAGGTATTTCAACAATTTCTTTCTTGTCCATACTCGGATGATATTAGACCTTTGAGTTCGATCTTCCCGACACATTAATATTTGCTTTACACAAACTTAATCCTAGTTTATAATACTGGAAATAGGCACCGAAAACGACCTGTTCATTGCAGTAAAATTTTATGTGTGTGCACAGATACGTGACAGTGTAGATATTAATGCTTTCTTTACTCAGGATGTGCTTTGAGATCTCTGCTGGGAAAACACTGCTCACACCTCACAGCTGGGACACAAATGTTTCCCGTCTTGCAAGATGCTCCAGAGGCCAATAAGGAAAAGGAAAAGAAAAAGTCAAGGAGGGGGAGGTAGAAATATCTACTTAGAAACAAATGCCCATAAAACCGGTGGAGAACAGCTTGCTAGTAGCATGCAGCAGATGTTCAATAAGCCCACACCAACACGAGGGCATCCCTGCGGTGGTGGGAGCTGCCTCTTGCCTGCTCAGCACCCGAGGCTGCCCCCGTTCCATGCCTGTGCCCCGGGAGGGCCGGGGAGGCTGTGGCTGCTGGGGGCTGCTTTTTATCAGCAGTATCCACGCTGCCACGAAGCCGCTTCAGCCACATCTGGGAGGGCTCTGCAGCCAGAAGGTGCAGGGGAGGTCTGCGAGTGCGGGTCCGACCCGGCAGTGATCAACGGTCGTGGGTCCATGGTGTCTGTTCGGAGCCCTGAAAGAGCATCCTCTGCTTGGCGATACCCCACTTCACAGGTCAGACACCCCCAGCTTCTCAGGCAGGACTCCTCTGAGCTCGGCATGGCTTCGTGGCCACCTCAGGGGCCGCAGTTCTGGCTGACGTGTGGCGTTTACATGGACCTGTCATGAAACAGAAATGCTGGGAATGGGATAACAACCTCCCAGGGTAATGATCCAAGAATCACATCTCTGCAGAAATGAGTTATGAGAGAAAATAATTTTTGAAACATCATGTAACAAGCAGAGTTCATGGGGAAAAAAATCTCCTACTTTCTTGATTCACTTATTCACTTTTTTGGAAATCCTGTTTATCTCCCTGTTTGCTCTACTCCAATGGCTGAGCTGAAAGTTAGTGCCCAAGAGTAACTCTGGAAGTGTCTTGGGGTAACCTGGACTTCTCTGTGCAAGCAATACAACCTGTGTTTCACCTTCGCATTCATCTCAGCCTTGCTGGGGAAAGCCCCTTCTGTCCTGAAACTCTTGCTCTCTCAGTAGATGACATTCTGCAGCTGCTCATATTATTCAGCCATTTTTCAAATGTGAGACTTTGGAAAATGTTTTTTTCAGTATTTTTTTGCAACCATAGCTCAAAGCTCGCTTGGGCAAAAAGTGTCATTTGTCACTGCAGGTTGTACTGTATATAGCAGGGGCCTCGCACGGTGATGGCTGGTGGCACGTGGCTGCCCCGTGCAGAGGACATGCTGTGGACCACACAATTTCGGCACTCTCAGTTGGAAGAGGCAGGAGATATTCCCAGCACCAGGTGCTCCCTGGAGTGACACCTGCTTTTATCTGAGACTCAGGCAGAAATAGTCTCATGCTTCAACTGGACCAGCCCCTTTAGCTCCGTTCCTGACATGAGCCCCAGACGTGACAAGCTTAGATGGTTGCCACCATTGCTTGGTTCTGCTTTGTGCCTACAACCGCTATTGAGCCATGCAGTGTGTTTGCTCCAGAAGAAAGCAGGGACATCCCTGGGGTCTTCCACAGTGCTGGTTTGCTGCATCCAGCTCCTGTCCACCTCGGCACGGATCCGGCAGGAGGGACCCCGGACCCTGCTCAGCTGTGTGATGAGCGGGGCTGGATCTCCAGGGTTGTGCCCTGCGGAGGTGACACGAGGCAGCTCAGTAAATGTCTCCAAACACCTGTTGGTGGCATATCCAGGAAAAGTCCTGCTTGACACATGGGAAGTGCCTGGATGCCTTTGCTGCTCCTGGGCTGTATTTGCTCAGGGCCTGATAAGGGCTCTTATCAGAGCAGGTGAACATCCCTGCTGCGGGGACGTGCCCATTCAGGTTACAGCCCTATTGCCGGCAGCTCAGTAACACACCCCAAAACGAGAACAGGACGGGACCAGCGGCAGCAGTGTCAGCCGCACTCCTCCCCTGGCACGGCGCAGCTATAAATCTTGTGACTCAAAGCATATCTACAGTAAATTTCTGGACTTCCAAGTGTCCCCGTGGAGTCATCATGGGTGAGTGTGAGCGTGGGGAGCAGGGCAGGGTGGGTTCCCCGGCCCATGGACCCCCAGAAGCAGTGCTGGTGGAGGGGGGGTGTTGAGAACCTCCCCCCTGGCAGAGCCCTCTGTTTGCTCTCGTGGATGGAGGACTTACACAGAGGCAGGAGATGACGCAGGGCACAAAGCAGGGGCAGACTCAAGGTCCGTGCTGCTTCTCCCAGGGCAAGGGAGAAGGTTTGAGAGGGACGTGCAAGTCCCTGGGTCTGTCCTCAGCCCAGCCCAGCAGCTCCCTGGGCAGCATCAGGGCAGAGGAGAGGGTCGGGTGAGGGAGGAGGGAACCTGCATGCCACCCTGTCCCAGAAAGCGGGGAGCAGAGGAGGGCCAGACCAGCGCTGGGTCATGCTCGAGGGCTGCAGACCTGCTGGCCGTCCCGCAGACCCGGTCACCGCGCCACTCTGGCCGGAGGGACAGGGGCTCTCCGCACCTCGCATCGCTGCGGGCGCGTCGGGAGGAGCTTCAGCGAGGCTCAGGGTCCAGGCGAAGGGAGGGCAGGTCTCTGCAGACAGGGTCTACCCGGGGCTGTGCTCAGGAGCAGGAGAGCAAAACCTATGGAGGGAAGGTCAGAGTGGCCTTTCCCCATGCCAATGGGTCAGTGGGGGCAGAGAAGACGCTGAACAAAGAGAAACGTTGCAGCAACTCATGTCCTAGAAGTGCCCCTCTGTCCCGGCACAGCAGGGACAGGTTCAGAGGAAGGGGCAGGTTAATGTCTAGCAGACAGTCGCTGCGCTTTATTTCTAGCGCAGCAGAGTCATAAATCGAAGTGTAAATGTGTTAAAAATGTAAAATTGAATTTACCGGTATATGAAAGCGTAGGTTTCCAAATGCTGCCAGGGGTCGATCGTTGTGGGGTGTCCAAAATAGAGGCACTATTGGAAAAGTCGTCCCTTTCCAGATGTTTCACAATCCAACCCTGCTGTAACCCCAGAGGTGCAGCTGTGGTGCCATCTTTAAATGAATGTTCAGATTTTAATCTTGGGATAACTATTATTATAATTAAGTTGAATAACATTATTATATTTATTTGATTATAACTTGGGGTTTTTATTTGGATTTTCCAGAGTGTAGCAATACCATCTAGCTGTTCAGTGAGCTGGAGAGGCAGAAAATATTCTGCAAGGTTTCTGTTAAATTTTGTGCTTAAAGATAAACACTTTGGTCAAGTTTCTTCTGATCTGCAAAGGAATCTCTCGTGATTGCTTGATTTTGCTCCCCAAATTTCCTGGGCACCTTGGGCTCTGCCAGAAAGCCTGGGAACAGCAGAGTCCGGCTACACGATGTGTGTCCGAAAGGCAATCCTGCGCTGTCCTCGCAGGTTTGGGGCGACTTGCAGCTGTTTCACCTCACTGCAGCTGGTTCCCCGCTGCGTGTTTTACACCAGCAGTGGGATGCTCTGTTTGACTCTCATCTTGTCCCTTCCTCCCCCAGCTGCCCAGTGCGCTCCCCTCCTCCTCCTTGCCTGTGTGTTGGCCCTGCCTGCTCCACATCTCACCAAGAGCATCCAAAGCCTGTCCCCCTTCAGTCAACCTGTCTTGAATAACACCGTGTCTGCTCTGAACACGTTAGTGAACGGTAGGTATTGTGGAAGGTCTCCACCTCTGCCAGCAGGACACAGCTAGGACCACCCCGGAGTGGGCTGTTGGGGAGGGCATCTTCCAACCCGGCGCTCCCCACGAGCTGTCAGCAGAGCCCCAGCATCCCCTAAGAGAGATACGTGCCCCAGCATGAGTCACCTGCCCTTCCTCAAATGTCTGGTGGGACCTTGCAGCCACAGGCCTTTCTGCTCATGTGTAGGTGTGGAGCAGCCCAGAGGGTTTGCTCTGATCTCCTCCCGAAGCCAAGGCTGTCCCTCCCCACGCACCCCCTGCCCCGTGGGAGGACGGTAGGGACAGTCACTGGGAAAGATGCAGAAGAGGGGAAGGGTTCTCCTGCCACCAGCATCCCCAGCTATTTCGCTCGTCCCATGTCTAAGAACTAGAAAAGTGGTCTTTTCCTGTGAAATACCCTTGTCTGAGGGTACTTCACCAGACTGCACCATCCCCTGTCTCACCCTCAGCCTTGCTCCCGGGGTACTGACAGTCCCAGGAGGGTGAAACTCAGCTCCTGCAGTGGTGGGCGAGGATAGCCGATGCCCCCTTGGCTGAGGGAACACATGGCAAACCCGCGCCCAGTCGCTGGGGCCACAACACACCAAAAATAGTTGGAAACGGAGACTTCAGAAGACAAAGGCTCCTAGGCACCTTCCCCAGCCAGGAGCAAGATCAGTGGTGTAAAGGCCTGGACTCCACTTCTTGAGCAAGAAAGTACCTCCTGATCTGGGTTCCATCTTTCTTTGGTGACATCCCCCCCATTTCCAAATCTCTTCCCTACTGTTGTTTTCCATGTTCCAGGTCAGCTCCGGCTAGTGAATGGCTCCAACCAGTGCTCTGGACGGGTGGAGGTTTGGTACCGCAATGAGTGGGGAACGGTGTGTGATGACAACTGGGACATGAGAGATGCCTCTGTGGTGTGTAGGCAGCTCGGCTGTGGAGAGGCAGTGTCAGCCCCAAGTAATGCTTATTTTGGGAGTGGCTCTGGGACTATCTGGCTGGACGACGTTAACTGCAGTGGGGAGGAGGAGCTCCTCACTGAGTGCTCGCTGCAGGCTTGGGGACAGCACAACTGCAGGCACAGCGAGGATGCAGGTGTTGTGTGCTCAGGTGAGGATGGCGTTCGCATGATCTGTGCTCTTCAGGCAATCCAGGTATCATTAACGTCTTGGTCTTGCAGGACCAGCCACAGGAGGACTATGGGATGCGCCTCTGTCTTGTTGCACAGGGTCTTATTAAATTACCCTCTCTCCTGCCCCAGGTTGGCCCAAGGACTGCAGCGAAATCCCTGCTGGCAGCCCCAGCGGCGTCTACGTCATCCAGCCCACAGGGCTGCACCCCATCGTGGTGTACTGCGAAATGAACGTGACGGACGGGGGCTGGACGGTCATCCAGAGGAACCGGCAGAGCACGGAGATCACCTGGGCTGAGTCCTGGAGCACCTACAAGTACGGCTTTGGGAACGTGCACACCGAGTACTGGCTGGGCACCGAGTACATCCATCAGATCTCCCAGCAGAAGGTCTACCAGGTCAGGTTTGTCATCTGGGATGCCGCAAACACCACCAAGTTTGCAGACTACAGCCTCTTCAGCGTGGAAGATGAGTCCCAGGGCTACCGGCTGAGGCTGGGCTCCTACTCAGGGACAGCAGAGGATGCCATGGCCTCAAAGACTCCCAGCACTCTGCACGACAACATGAAGTTCTCCGCCAAAGATCTGGATCAGGACGCTTACAGCGGGAACTGTGCCTCCAGCTATGGGGGCGGGTGGTGGTACTCGGCGTGTTATTCTGTACGGCTGAACGTCAAGGGGGGCATAACGTGGGGCAGCCTGTGCAACGGGAACTGCAAAGCTTCGGCCATCCTCATCAAACCCATTACCTACTGCTAGGGCTTCGTCGCTGCCTGTCTGCACCGGCCCCGTGGCCAGACCAGTGCCCTGCCGGGCCGGGGGAGCGGAGCGGGTGGCAGCGGGGCACACCCTGGGCTGCCAAGAGATTTTTTTCTTTCGCCTCTTTTGTGGAGTTCCTCTGCTTCCCTTGCTGGGTTCTTCCCCTTTGAGCTGTTTTTATTTTAATTGCATTATAATCAGGCTAACACATTGCAAACCCTGTACTTCTGAAACATACCTGCTCTGGAGAATAAAATGTGCTTTGGAAACATGATGCCTGGATGAGCATCACGGGAAAATGTCCTTATTCTTAGCTGTACAAATAATCAGCCCCTTTCTCTTCGGGGTTTCTGTCACCCCCTTATTAGCTGGGGTGGGGAAAGGACAAAGATTCCTTATTTCCTAGTAAATCTGAATTAACCCCACATGCTGAAGATGTGGCCTTGACACATACACCTGGAGAGGTGTTTTCACCCACCCTGGCTCTCAGTTCAGCAGTTGTTAAAACCTCCAGTAAAATCCTGTGTCTAAAACAACACCTACAACCTGAAATACCTACTCCATGCCTCCAGCACGTTCGTACAGGCTGGTACGGAGTGAGCAGCCGCGCCAGGGCAGTTTAAAGACAAAACTTTCACTTAAAGAAGAGAGTTGGGTTTCAAGGTGGCTTGAGAGGAACCATGGCTTCTTTCAAGCCCTAAGTTCAAACTTCCCTCCATCATAAAGGAGATCCATAGCCACATTCCCCCTGTGCAGCAGAATACGATGGGACTGACTTACCCACATCTCTTATGCCCTCAGGGAGCCCACCACCTTCTCTACACTCCAATCTGTGGTGGTTTCTTCCCTTTCCCAGCATAAAGCAACCACCCAGCCATGGACAGGGACAAACTATGAGCGAGGCTTTTGCAAGATACTGGGTTTTGCTAGCCCTGTTGGTTAATCGTAGCCTTACAGCCACAGTTTAGTGCACAGTGGTTGGAACAAGCCATTGGAAGCAATATTGCATCCAGAGACCTGAGAACCAAAACACAAACAGAATTAGGTACAACAGCTGTACTCAGCTGTGTACAGCAACTGAACCAAAGGGAGAAAACTCATGTTACAGACTGATGCTGGGGACAGTCAGCAGCAGGGAGAATCAGTGCTGGGCCTTTCATTATGGAACATTGAAATAGTTCAGAAAAAAAAATAAAGATCAGCACAAAACCCGTGCATGCCACACCAGCTCTACACCAGCTCAGCCTGAGCAAATCATCTTGAAACCAGCAGCCACCATGCCAGTACTGGGGGAGGTGAGCTCTGCATGTCCCAGGGAGATCTGGCATCCCTTGATCAGGGGTGTCTCCTTGCCCAGGAGAGGACCTGCATAATACACCTACTTTCCCCCAGGTCCACCACCCCCAAGACTGGACAGAGTGATCCCACACACACTTATGTGCAGTGCCATGGAGGCAGGCAGACGCAAGGCAGCAAAGTCTGGCTCCAGGGTTTATTGCAGCTGATTTCTTCCACCATGGGTAGCAGAGCTGTGGGGCGTATGGGGCCCGGCGAGGCAGCAGGGCCTGAGCAAAGCAGGGATACACCGATCGCACAGGGAAGGGAACTTGCACTGTCTCCCCATCCCCAGGACAGGAGTGGGCGCACCCACCCCAAACCAGTGCCTGCGTCCCAGTGCCGGCCAGCACCGTGGCACTGGGTGAAGCTGCCCGCGTGCCCGGGGCTCCGGGCGATTGCTCCTGAGCCCCAGAGCTGCTGTGTTTCAGCTGGTGACAGTGCAGGAGCTGCAGGCAGCGCAGGACGTGCACCAGGGCTGGCACAGGGCTGTTGGCAGGCACAGGAACGGGGCACTGAGCTGGGGACGGTGGCACTCCCACAAACTCCTGGGAGGCTGGGCACTGCGGCACGGTCAGCACACAACTTTGGGTTTGACCAGGATGAGGGAGGATGTGCAGTCACCGCTTGAGCAGATTCCTGGCCAGAAGATGTACTTCTTGCCATTGAGCAGGACGTTCTGGCACTTGTCGTACCACCAGCCCCCGTAGCTGTTGGCACAGTTCCCGGTGTGCTGGTCCTGGTCCCTGTCGGTCGTGCTGA